TTTCATTGCAGTCACAGATGTTTATTAAATTGAGTTTTCTGTGGGGTGTCAGGATGACCACTGGGCCTCTACTGGGCGTCCACAGGAAGGGGGAGCCGCAAACTCCCCTCCCCCCCCCCCCCCGCAAACCTGACATCGGTGCAGGGAATCAGCCTAATACAACTGACACTCTGCAGCACGTCACACTTGCAAACATGCGCCACACGCAGCAAAACCACAGGCTACGCCAAGCTAAGACCACTGTGCATTTACTATTGACCTTATTTAAGGTTATTTATGGTACTTCCTTAATTTCAATTGTTTTTGGTATAATCCCTTATTTTCCCAAATGAAACTAAAGTCACCTTCAAAGATTTGTCCTTCTATAATAGAGCTGAAAATGAGAGCTCCCTAGTTTAGGAGATTAATGTAGGAGAAAAAAGAACAAGTACCACATGTGTTTGGTTTAACTGTTTTTTTTCCCCTCCAGTTCCAACAAGGACTATTAAGCAGACCCCCGCCTCCCCCCCCCAGACAAAGAGCTGCAGATTTCCAAGGTCTCCAGATGGCATGATGAGCCCGGCACCCCCTCCGTCCTGCTTCTGTGGCTGTTCCTGCCTTTGTCTGCATTTCTATGCTCTTCCCCTTCCTCTGCTGGCCACGTGCAGCCCTCTCTCGCACCAACACCGCAACTGCAGTGAGGAAAAAAAAGCCATCGCACAGAGGCCACTGCTGCATCACGGACACAGTGGTGGTAAAAGATGGTGATCCGCTCCAGGTTCCATTGCCGACTCATTCAAAATGGCAGGAAGAGCTAAAATACTCGGCACACTGCACTGAACAGCCCACTGGTGTATCACAGCCCGTGAGAAACATTTCCCCATTTAGTCACTAAAGGAGACTGAAATTACCCTTTCAGGGTTACTTCTACATGAGTCTGATCCACAGTACCTCACATGCTGAGGAATTTTTGGTAGTCATGGCAACGCTCCTATTTACTCGGTCCCCTAGGAAACCCAGTAAAATACTCAAACACCATTAACGATGTGAAAGTGCAAAGATTTGTCATGACATGTTGAAAGAGCAGCATGCATCTTATTGATTATTTGCTGGACATTTTTTAGATCTCCCCAGAAATGGGTAAGAATCATGATGAGAAAAACTGTGTGAGTGGAGCCGCTTTTCCCAGGGTCCCGTGGGAAAGCTGCAGGAAGAGACCCAGCCAGCCAAAGGTAGCATCCCCTCATGTAACTGGAAACCTGTTCAAATGGACACAAATCACATTGCATGGCAATAACACAGCAATTTACCATACTCCACAGGTGAGCTTATTCTATTTTCCAGCAACAAATCCACACATCGCAGAAGAATCACGTCTGACGAATATTTTAATCTAAGATGTCCATCTTGGTAAACTCTGCCAAGGGAAAAGCATAGCCGCCCCTCTGCCTCTGATCAGGGAAAAGCGTGGCCACACCTCTGCCTCTGACCTGGGAAAAGCACGGCTGCCACACTGCCTTTGACCAGGGAAAACCGTGACTGCCTCTCTGCCTCTGGTCAGGGAAAACCGTGACTGAATCTCTGCCTCTGGTCAGGGAAAAGCGTGGTCGCACCTCTGCCTCTGACCAGGGAAAAGCGTGGCTGCCACGCTGTCTTTGACCAGGGAAAAGTGTGGCTGCCCCACTGCCTCTGACCAGAGAAAAGCGTGGCCCCCCTCTGCCTCTGACCAGAGAAAAGCGTGGCCCCCCTCTGCCTCTGACCCAGGAAAAGCGTGGCTGCCCCACTGCCTATGACCAGGGAAACGTGTGGCCACCCTCTGCTTCTGCCAAGGGATAAACGTGGTGGTCCCTCTGCCTCTAATCACAGAAAACCATGACTGCCCCTCTACCTCTGACCAGGGAAAAGTCTGGCTGCCCCACTGCCTCTGACCAGAGAAAAGCATAGCCTGCCTCTGCCTAGGGAAAACCGTGACCACCCCTCTGCCTCTGCCCAGGGAAATGCACGGCTACCCCTCTGCCTCTGCCCAGGGAAAACCGCAGCCGCCCCTCTGTTTCTGTCCAGGGAAATGTGTGGCTGCCCTCTGCCTCTGCCAAGGGAAAACCGTGGCTGACCCTCTGCCTCTGCCCAGGGAAAAGCGCAGCCGCCTCTCTGCCTCTGCCCAGGAAAAACCAGGAGGTGCTCTCCCTCTGATCAGGGAAAAGTTGGCCTCCTTCAGGCCAAGGAAAACAATGGCTGTTCTCTGTCTTTGCCCAGGAAAAGCATGGCCGCCCTCTGCCTCTGATCAGGGAAAAGCGTGGCCGCCCTCTGCCTCTGTCTAGGGTTTGCTAGCAATGTGAAAGGCCCTTTTCAAGACTCCTCCCAGCAGCGCACTTCTGCCAATGAACAGTGATATTTACAGGGCACATGGCTTTGGCAGCTGCATGCATAATGTGACTTTGTTCAGCTGTGTGATTGCAGGCCTGCGTTCTACCTTCTGTGTGAACTGGAAACCAGTTGAACCGGAGGCTCCGGCTGCCAGCCGAATACCAGTGTATGTTTGGTACACTTTACATCCTGAATAGGTGTATCTGTGTCTAATCGGACAAAGAGGATAAATTGAATTTTTCATTCCCATTTTGCACAGGATAGATATTTGCATTGGTGGGCTCAGTCCTGATTTAGCATTCGTTGTCAGCTCTCTCCAGCAAGGGTGCTGGGGCTCAGAGTTACATGCTATCTATTTGAGTGCCGATCCATGGTTTGAGTGCTCGCGGATAGAGCTGGCAGGATTCCAAACCAAGGTGGGCCTCCAGGCCTGCCCTGTCAATGTGTGCCAGCTTCGTTTTCCCTGCCCTTTACAGAGCACTTGTCCTGTATGTGTGGCTTTCATGGAAATACATAAAGCCCCTAAGATATGAACCAGCTCTGTTCTGAGAGCAGGTTCGCAAGTGCAAAAGTTTGCAAGTCCAACAAATTTAGCCTTGGGCATCCAGCTGGTGACGCTCCAACCCTCAACTCCTATCGAAACATTTTAACAACCAACAACAGTTCTTCTTTCCATTGTGTTCCGTCAGCTGATCTAGCTTACCGCTAGCAAGAGAGCCTAAGTTACTGTATGAAGAATATCCGAATTAAGCATGAGAGATCCAAACTAAGTTATGTGCTACTGTGAACTTTCAAACTCCACCACAGGTCTTAATTTGCAATTATTAAAACAATTTTGAATTGACAGGACATGCAGGGGACAGCATGGTGATGTAGTGGTTAGGGCTGTTGCCTCACACCTCTGAGACCTGGGTTTGAGTCTCTGCCTTGTGCCCATAGGCTCCAGAACCTCTGTGACCCTGAATAGCAGAAGTGGTTTCAGAAAATGGATGAACATGCATGTTTGCATCTTGAAGGTTCAGAGGACTTTCTGTATAGATGCTCAGAAAAACACACTACTGGCTGACTTCACATGCCTTGGGTGAATGTCAGAGAAGAGGGAGAAAAGCTTCTCGGGATGACAAAGGAGCCATGAGAACACTGGAGACAGTGTGCTTGCAGACTAATGGCCCCCAGGCCCAAGGCAGCAGCAATGGAATATGGGACATTACAGCACAGCCCTCAGCAAAGGGGTAGCATCAGTAAAGGATGTGGGCTCAGGACTTAAAGGATGCTGACAGGAGATGGTTTGTTGTTTCTAGGGCCCTTACTCAAAATTTCACCCCCCCCCCCCATTTATGGCCAACAGGGGGCCTCCAAACCTTGGGGGTCCCACATAAATACATGGTTTGAGTGGCAGTAAACATCACTGGTTGCTGGTTTAAGTCCCAGCCATGACCCTGAAAAAGGCACCTACCCAGAACTGCCAAATATCCATAAGTATGGAGAACGAGCCTCGCCAGATGTTGAGGGTTAACGGCCATTCAGGCCTCATACAGAATGGCAGGCCGCTCCTTTAGGTTCGACTTTGATTCTCACAGGTTTCACTTCACTCACGGCAGCCCAAAGGTTCACATCCCCCACCTGGCAGCTGGGTACTTATCTGAGAAACATTAGCAGGTAGAACTTATCAGGGAACCATTTTAAACATGGAAATTACGTGCAGCCGTTTGCTGAAAACTTAAGGTGACCAAATTGGGTGGGAGGACCAGGCAGGCAGGAGGACACCTACGCCGGTCACTGCCAATGCAGGCAGGCCATTTTAAGCCAACGCTCCATGACTGACCAGCGCCACCATCCTGCCACCCTAATAATGGCACTACTGGGAGCTGCATGGAAACAGCCTGCAGCTAAACGCAGCTGGCATAAATATTTGAAGGCACTTAGAATATTAATGAAGGCGGCATCTGTTAGGTAGCAGGTGGCAGCAGCTGTGAGGCTCTGCTGGGAGCGACGATAGGCTGCGGACGTGTTTGCACGCTGATCTGGGAGAGCCGGCTCTGCAGCACGCGTGGACAGAAGCCACCCTAATAATTAAAAAGGAGGATGTAACAGAAATAATGAATGATTAATTACATATTTAGGGAGGAGCACGGTGTATTATCTTTATTGGTCGTAGAGTAAGAGCCAGAAGGTTCCTCAGGCAAATGGATAATAGGTGTCTGCGTTGGATGTGAATCGAAGAAGGAGGGATTGCCGCCGGCTGTGACAATGGTGAGAGGGCTCACCCTGGTGGTGACACAAGGAACTGCATGTGGTGAAGCAGCAGGTCACACGTCTGCTTTGCAATTAATCGCCCGTCACGGCCTGGGTCGCTGGAGACAGGAGGCGTGGCGGTGTGGTCCATAAACTCATCGCCATGGAGACGTATGTGCAGGAAAAAGGGTGTGGGGTGGATTGGGAATGGTCTGTCGCATCGGACACGTGACATCAACCCCCCCCCCCCCCCCCCCCACTTACTTCTGCGGTCTTGGATGTCTGAACACAGACAGTGGAGGCTGGATGATCATTCGCTTCTGGTCAGGCTGCTCTGGGTTCCAGAGAATTCCGATAAGGATGCTCTTTGGGTGGCGGGGTGGGCCGAAGCGGCTTGTGGTACCGGGCCATAATTCCGGCAAAAGTGAGCCAGAGGTGCTTGTGACTGGCACCATGCAAGGTCCTGTGACAGGTCACCCAGTTTTGAGGCCCCAGGGGCGGGATGTGGTATGTAGGGGTGGCAGGTGGGCCTGTACCTTCAGCCTTAATGGACCCTCAGCAAAGCCACGGAGCAAAGCCTCTAGCCTGAAAAATGGATGTAAAAATACAAACACGAACAAAAGTCACAAAAGTACATGCGTTTGTTATTCATATATGGGATCGCGGCCGTGAAACAGGTTTGGAGACCTTCACAGCCAAAAGTTGTCAACCAGCCGAAGCGAGAAGGGGGGGGTCGCGGCGTGAGGGAGCGCCCCCACTGAGGCAGCGCCCCCACTGAGGCAGCGCCCCCACTGAGGCAGCGCACCGTGGCGGGAAGTGAACACCCCACACGAGGTGCTGTGGCAGTTTTTATAAGCCCTCCGCTAATAGCAAGGCGACGTCACAGGGTCAGGCAGTCACTGGTGGCAGTGGGGCACGGCTTCCTGGAGGAGTGCCAGAGCATGGAGAAAGGGAAGAGAAGAGAAGACAAGACAAGACAAGAGAAGAGAAGAGAGGAAACGGCAGGAGGAGGGGCTGACGAGAGCAAGAGCTAAACTGACAACCCGTTTCCCCGAAAACGGCAGCTAGTGACAGGAAGCATTTCTCTCTGCCTGTGAGCCACGTAACTGATTCAGCAGGGCGGACGAGCAGCACCAACAGAGAGCCATGGCCCCTGACATGACACACACACTTCCTGTCCGACATGACTCAAGGCGGCCGTGCTGCACAGGAAGCACAGCGTCCCTTGGACTTATACCTCCTTCCATTCTGAGCCTCTGCATCGAAACCGAATTCATTAACGACACTTTGACAGAACTCTAGCTTTTGCTAAGTGTAGGAGAGCCAGATGACGGGTCTTGAAGATTCCGGTCCATCCTGCCAGTCAGATGCTCTCAAGAGGCTGTTTTTGGTTTATCCTCCCCTGTTTTATCAGTGAGACAAGCTTCCAGAAAACATCCCCACATAAAAAACCGTATTCCCAGGACGTCGTCAAGGTCATGCTGGAGCATTTTGCATGTGGAGGGAGCTGTTTAAGGGGGAGGTTTATCTGCACATTACTTTCCTCATGAATAGAGGAAAATATAGCTAGAGGGACAGAAACAATCACACTAAGCCTCAAACTACCAGTCAGGACTAGTTAGTAATGCTAATCCGCTGGAGCCATTATCATCATGCATCCTGTTACAGATGCGGGACACGCCTAAACCAGGCCGCAGAAAACACACGCTGAGGCTGCACAGAAACCCTATATGAAGCCCCCCCCAAAGCTCCCACCTCCTTTGGTGGATGTCTTTGAAATACCCCCCCGCCCTTCCCTCCTTGGTAAAATGCGGCTGCGCTCCACACACAGCCTCCAGGCTGAATGCGGGAGCTGCGTCTGGCCATATATGGTAGAAGAAGACATCAGTGCTGTGGTGCCTGCCTCCCCACTGCTCCCCCTGCTGGCTGCTTCTGGTAACGTGAGGCACAGCCATGTCATCGATGTGTGTGAGTGAGTGAGTGAGTAAGCTTGCATGTGTGGGTTTAAAGAGGGGAAACCTAGTGCTGTCCGCCGCAGGGTGGCAAGGATTCTTCACACACATAAATATTCTTAACATACCACTAAAATGCTACCTGAGAACTTGTAGGATTGCACAAAATTCCAGAAAAAGGAAATGAAGTAAACATTATGGATGAACAAAAACAAACTTAAACAAACAGCAAAGCATCAAACAGAGCAAAAGCATCTACTGATCAGCTTGCATGTTAAAATCAGTTTTATAAAGTATCTCAAACGGCAAATGTAAACTGCCTCCCCAAGGCTCCTATCTGGCCCCAAAGGAAACCCACAGAGCAGCCTGAAGCAAGAGATTTGATGTGGTCACCCAGGGCACAAACACGGCACGGCAGACAGGGCCTCTGACATGGGGAGTGCCCCTCCCCAAACACACACACACAACACACATGCAGAGACACGCAACAGACACACACAGACACAGTGTGTGCAAAACAGCATAATTAAATCACAACATGGCAGTGTGTGTGTGTGTGTGTGTGTGTGTGGGGGGGGGGCACCTATCAGCATGATGGACGACCCATAGCCCAGTTTGCATGCCCCCTATGGGTATTCTGAGGCCGGGGACTGTGTACCACTACAATCGACACCAGTCCAACCGCTTAAAAGGGATCTTAGATGCCTCTGAATGTTATGAGACATGTACGGACTGGATTTAACAAGGCAGTGCAAGTATAGGGTTTGTGCCATCTATCTTTGCAGAAATATACTGATATCTACAGTTTTCCATGTAATCATAAAACTAATTCACCAGATTCACCACCAAACGCAACATACATCTACCAATAACTGGGACAAGAATAAAATGACAAAATGGCAGACATGTAAAATTTAAACAGCACAGAGGCTTTGAAGGAGTTTATTGGGAGGTTTCCGGGGGACATACACCGATCCAGGACAGGCATGTGTGCTGTATAACCTGCTATACAGAGAAACTAGGTGGAATGAAACAAAGTGGGAGGGGGCCAAGCCGCTCCCCTCTGTAAACCCCCCGCCACACAATGCGGAGCCCGGGGCAGCTGGAGGCGGGAGCCGTGAAGACTTAGGATAACCTCTGCGATCCGGGGCACATCTGCAAGTACTCTCACTCACCCGTGTGCAGAATGGGGTGGGGTGCATTTCTGGGGCAAAGGGCTTTTCTTTAACATATACGCCCTTCGCTGTGCCAAACAATCATCTTCAAGGGCGAATGTCCTACAGAATACCTCTCGCGGCCGCTAACCTCACCTTTCATATCCATGCGAAAAGAATGCTCCAGGATACAGGTTTAAGTCTAAACGAAATAATTGTCCTTTCTATTGGCTCACCAGCCCAACGGTCTAATAAAAAAAATGGAAAGAATGAGGATGTGAAAGTAGGTCACGTTATAAAATTTTGCCAGACTGCTCCAGATTACGCTCCATTTTGCCCGACCACACACAATAAAAACGAAAAATCAACAGAAAAGGTATACTACCCGGACGTGTCGAAATAATAAGGTGAAGAAAGCATTCTGGGATAATGTTTCCCAGAGTTTTCTTTTCATTTCCTCCCCGGCTCGTGTGCAGCAGGAGAAGAGGGGCGTGTAGATCAGCAGCAGCTGTGCAAAGGAGCTGCATGAAGAGCGCCGGCGCCATAATGGGCCTCTGCTGCCACCGTGTGGACAAATCTACGAATGGCAAGATAAGTTGGCTGGGTATAATGGATAACTTAGTTAGCAAATCTGAATTTTCTGTTTGAAATTAAAGCATCCCGCTTTTCTGGGGAGTCGCTCCATGCCACTCGGTGGCCCCCACTACCACTCTCTGGCACTAGGACGCCTGGTGTGTATTTCAGACGCTTGCCATCCAGTGCTCGTTAGGGCGGGGCCAAGGTGAAGCTGGAGCTGCTGTGTGCTGGGATGGGGGAGGGACCCGGGTGGGGGGAGTAGAATAGTCCTGGGGAGATATGAGACGTGAAATGGTGGGGGCGTTGAGCCTGACAGCTGCTGGAACAACAACACACAAAAGCCCATCTGAGGCATCCTCACCCCCCCCCCCC